GGAGAGCCCCAACCCTACCTCCCCACCTAGTGGACACTTATGTTATGTAATGTCTGAAGTCTGTGTGCATATCTGTCTGAGGTGTTTTTTTTTTGCATAGCAAAGCTGCCCTCTCTGTGGAGGGTATCTCTGAAGTGCCTTTTTTCCCCTACCCGACTATCCTCATATAAACCCTCTTAATCTGTTACGGTAGTGCGTTTCAGGTTGCGAATGACCACAGTCACCAATTCTTGTCATGTGTCTATGTATGTATGTCTGATATCAGAATTGTGTGTACTGAAACTCTAATTTCCCTCTGGGGTTAATAAAGTATCTTTGAATTGAATTGAATGCACACACACACACACCTTAAAGGTTGTTTCATATTTTGTTTCCATCATGGTGGTGAACTGGGATCAGTCTGGTAGGTAGTTGCCGTGGTAACCTGGGTTGAGCTGCTTGATCATCTCTTTGAAACCTTGATACAGTCACCAATTCTTGTCTTGTGTCTATGTATGTATGTCTGATCTCCGAATTGTGTGTACTGAAACTCTTAATTTCCCTCTGGGATGAATAAAGTCTTTTTGATTTGAAATTGAATTGAATTAAACCAGGGAGCCAACTTCCTGTGCCTAATTACCTTCTTTTTTAAAGGGGCAACATCATCTAATACCACACGTAAAGAAGTAACATTATGAACTAAATCATCAATTTGTGAAGGGCTAGAAATGAAAATATTGCCCTCTGCTACTTTCCTCTGAGATGCTGAGGACAGTAAAGATGGAACAGTTGATTTAGAAGATGCAACTGCGTTGTGAGATAGAGACACACTTTACTTTCATGTCTCGAGAACTCAGTTATAAAAAACTCAAAGGTTATCAGAAAGTGGTCCGAGAGGACTGGATTATGTGGACAGATTGTTATTTCCTCACACTCTATGCCATAAGTCAGCACAAGGTCCAATGTATGATGGCAGGAGTGGGTGGAGCTATGTATTCTTTGGGTAAAACCAATTGAGTCTAAGATATTACTAAAGGCTACATTGAGGCTATCATTTTCAATGTCCACATGAATATTAAAATCCCCCACTACAATGACCTTATCAGTATTTAGCACCAAATCAGATAAAAAATCAGATCTGATCCAAAAACTCAGTAAGGGCCTGGTGGACGATATAAAACTACAAACAAGAGTGGTTTTACAGTTTTGCAATCTGGATTAGGAAAACTAAGAATAAGATGTTCAAACGAACTGTAACTATTAATCTGTAAGGGACTGATTAATAAGTCCGAATGAAAAATGGTTGCTACTCCTCCTCCTCGCCCTGTACTTCGAGCAATATGATGATTTAAATAATTTGAAGGAGTCGATTCATTTAAGCTAACATAGTCCTCTTGCTGCAGCCAGGATTCTGTGTGAGAGAGCAAAGAGATCTGATGATCACAAATCAAGTCATTAACTAACACAGTCTTAGAAAAAATAGACCAAATGTTCAATAACCCACATTTAATTTTTCTAGTTTTCTGCTCAGTTGAATTTGTTCTAATATTTATGAGACTTCCATGATTTGCTTTATTAAGCCTGATATTTAATCTGTGTGATTTTGGCCGTGGGCAGGACACTGTCTCTATGGGGTAGTGGGTGGGTAACAGTACAGAAGCTGCAGAGGGGTGGGTTAAACTACGACTCTGCTTCCTGGTCTGGACCCTGGGTTGTCATGGAGGACTAATAAAACTGGCCATGTTCCTAGAAGGAAGTGCTGCACCATCCAAAGAGGGATGGATGCCGTCTCTCCGCATCAGACCAGGTTTTCCCCAAAAAGTTTTCCAATTATCAATGTAGCCCACGTTGTTTTCAGGACACCACCTAGACAACCAGTGGTTGAAGGACAGCATGCGGCTAAACATGTCGTCACTGGTCTGATCGGGTAGGGGGCCAGAGAAAATTGCGGAGTCCGACATTGTTTTGGCAAACAGACACTGCAGCAACATTACTTTTAGTGACCTCCGATTGGCGTAACCGGGTGTCGTTACCGCCAGCGTGAATAACCATCTTACTGTATCTACGCTTATCCTTAGCCAGCAGTTTCAGATAAGATTTAATGTCGCCCGCTCTGGCCCCAGGTAAACGTTTAACTATGGTTGCTGGAGTCTCTAATGCCACGTTTCTGACTATGGAGCTGCCAATGATCAGAGTCGGCTTGTCAGTGGGTGCGTCACTGAGCGGGGAAAATCTATTAGAAACGTGGACGGGTTGGTGGTGGCCCACGGGCTGGGTTCTATGCTTCCTGCGTACCGTCGCCCAGCTGGCCTGAGGTCCCGTCTGCTCGGGTTCTACTGGAGGACTGCTACAGGGTGGTTCTGAGCTAGTTAGTAGTGATGGGAATTCCGGCTCTTTTTAGAGAGCCAGGTCTTTTGGCTCAGCTCACCAAAACGAGCCGGCTCTTTTGGCTCCCAAGTGGCTCCTCAGATTTTCTGTTGCGTAGAGTACATTTATAACCAAAATAATGCTAAACTATATGTAAAATAATTTACTAATGTAAAAAGAAAGCAATATATCAAATATTTATCATTTCTATGGATTTAATAACTGAACACTTTAAGAAATCTCCACTTCCCGACTGCTGGCGCTCATTTTCTCACAGTCTTCGTCGCACTCTCCTCTCTCTCGCTCGCCTTTTTCCTCCTCCTCATTCCCTCTCGTCTCCCTCCACCCGCATGTGCTCTACTGTGTGTTTGTCTGAGTCTGATCCTCCCTCTTCCCCGCCCCTACTGCTCTGTGTGTGGACAGTCTGGACACACAGTTACACATGCTGACCAATCGCCTGTAGCTTTCACCAAGGTGGGGGGGGGGAGGGGGGAGGGGACGGCTCCCAATGACGAGCCGGCTCCTGTCGTTCACTTCAAAGAGCCGGTTCGTTCGCAACCGACACATCACTACTAGTTAGCCCTAGCCAGCTAGCTAAGTAGCTACGGCTATCTACGGGCTTTTCAACAGCGAGGAGCCAGGCCTCCAATTCCGACACCCTCGCCTCCAAAGCTACAAAAATGCTACATTTATTGCACGTACCATTATCACTAAAGGAGGCAGTGGAGTAGGGCTGCAACTAACGATTATTTTCATAATCGATTAATCTGTCGATTATTTTTTCGATTAATCGGTTTGTTATTGTTTAGCTATTTAACCTATACTAGTGATGAATACATTTCAGTTAAGAAAAAGAAAAACATAAGAGAATTGCGCAGTTGACTGCAATCTATTTTATTGCACATGAACACAGTCAGTGGTGTAAAATGAGCTAAACAGTGCAAAATATCAGTCCAGAATAATTTTTTGGCATCAAAATATAAGAGGTAAATTCCATAAAAAATAATATAGAATTGCTGGAGGGTGAGTGTCTTGTTCCCCATGTAGTTGTCCATCGTTGCTTGTTTTTTTCTGCATAAGAAACACAAATAGACTGAAATAAGTACACATATAAAATAAAGCAGCACACACACTACAACACTAAATCAATATTATATTATTTGAATTAATTAACAATATACAGTGATCATTTATTTTGACAAAAATGCGTTGTGAGGCGTTTTACAGCGTTGGATAGTAAAACAGCCTTTTAATAGTAAAAAAAATTACTTTCTGAATTTCTCCTGTATTTAAAAATTGAAAGCGTACAACTGTGCCGCGTTATATTCACCTGGACACACAGCTCGTCTGTATATTTTTCTCCGCGGAGTTGTCCTTTTTTGAATGAGGAACATAGTTATGGGTTTGTGCCGTTTTTCTCTTTAACGAGAACATTCTTATAAACAGACGTGCTAAATTTGGCAAGCGCAGGATACACAACACGGAGGAGATTCACGATTGCATTTAGTCAATCAGAAGTAGAACACCGTAGACTGACTCGGCAAAAAAAACATGTTTAACATCCACTATAATGAATTCAGCTAAAACACTAAGTCCCAAATTTGATCTGCGTGTAGTAATGGACCACTATATTTAGCTTATTTTCTGTTACTTACCGCGCTGGCTCTTCCTCTGCTGCATCAGCCCCCACATGTTTTCCTCTCAAATGTTCACTTAGGGACGTCGTGCTTCCGTGCCATGCTAGATGGTTTTTGCATATTTTGCAGGTCACCCGTCTTTTCATGGCATCTAGAGTGAAGTGCTCCCATACTCGTGAGGTTTTTGTCCAGGGTTTCTCTTCAGTTTTGTCGCTTCTATTTTTCTTCCGTATTTCTTCTTGTTCCGCCATCTCTCACAGCAAGATGCGCGTCAGTAACGTGGTACGTCATGAAAACCGAGGGCACTTATTGGCTCGTTTCTTCTTCTACAGCTCCACTGGTAGATCAGTGGCTCATTACTGCCACACACTGGCGGTGAATTTAACAGCTTGTAACCGATGTCAGATTGTGGTAAAAATAGACTTTATGCGTTAAAATGTGATTATTAAACAACTAATCGATGACTAAAAAAGTTAACTATTTTAATAATCGATTATAATCGATTAAATCGATTAGTTGTTTCAGCTCTACAGTGGAGTAATTAAACCTCTGAGACAGAGAGCAAGAGATAAGAGACGGAGAAGCAGAGACAGAAGTAGCCATAGCCATGCTGAGGCTAAGCTAACTGGACGAGCAAACTGTTCCAACACCAAATAAACTGCGTGCAAACTCAAATGGTTCCCCAAAAGCTAGGTGGAACAATAGAAAATGTGTTTTAGCGTGCTTATGTGCTACAATAACTCAGAGATATCCTAGTACAGAGAAATGTAATCAATTTTAGCTAGCCACAAACACCGAACAGCTACACGTAGTGCACCGAAAACAGGAAACACCTTACCGCACATACTGCCACCTACAGTCAAATCATCATCATTATGGCTCGGTAGTAAGTCAAATGGAAATTGGAGACAAGTGGTTCTTTAGGAACTTGTTAAGAGTTCTTTCATCGTTTCTAGGCAGACACTATCCCGGTTTCACTTCTCGCTGGCTGAATGTCACATTTCTGCTTTTGTCCAGGCCCATCGGCAGTGCAGAAAAGCAGAGCATCTGGTAGCTGCTGGAAAGTATGAAGAGGCTATCTCCTGCCATGGAAAAGCTGCTGGTGAGCCGAGACCCTTTGAGATGTTGAAGTTTTGACATAAATGAGACATAATATGACTTTTAATTTTAAAGTTCTGTAGTTTTATGGTCCAGTATGTCCTATTGGTGATGCAAACCTTCTGGGGTCATCAGGTCATCTAAAGGCTCTAAAGCTCTATTGCCTTCATTTTAAGGAAACATCTATTGACAAAATGTATATATCATTCTGCTGTTATAGAGATGAACACATGCATCCAAGATTAGTGATTAGTGCAACAGATAAGATTGTCAGGTTTCAATAAGCTAAAAATTAATTCATATGTGAGATAAATGTACATTTTTGTCCTTTAACATACAAAGAATGTACAACTTTATCAACTGATGAGAGAGTGCCAGATCATAGTCTGAGTCCAGTTAGCACCAGTGGCAGACACAGACACTAGGCAGAAGGACCTTAGTAGTTTCCAATCGCATGCCGTCTCAGGGTCAAATTTGACAAACACCTTCTGGGTGAACAGACTTCGTCATCATTAGCCCTGGGCGTTCCTAGAGTGCAACGCCTGAAGAAGACCCAAGTTCAAACAGCTTTTGCTTAGAATGCTGCCGAGGAGGCAAAGCTGCGTTGGAGATCATAAAGACACCCGACTGACATCAGAAACTTTACCAGGCCAGAAACCTGGGAACTCGACCAATGGAGGTCGGAGATTGGCGCAGAAGTGGACTATCGAGGGCTCTGCGCTGGGATGGACCTCAGTTGGCATGCGAGTGCAGCTAGAAATACTGGGTCAGCCTGTAAAGATGCAGGGTCGATGTGACCTTCAACCCCCTCTTTGGTAGGTGGAGGGCTATACACCTGACTCAACTGATCGTTTTTGGATAGGTCCTGTGTGGTATCCATAATCATGGGAAAAAAAGGAGCACTATAAATTTCCTCCTGGATGATTATCTTGACTTGGTTGGCTGTTAGTTGAATGATCTCATTTTGAATAGTGGGGCTGAGATATTTTGCAGAGCTTTATGGTTTCTCAACTAGTTCCTTTAACACTGGGTCATACTGTGCCAGTAGTTCTATAATACTTTGAAAAATTCCACTGTTGGGATCTCCATATTTCCCCCTGTGCCCTCTAAAAGGCAGGTTGCAAGTGGCCAGAGGGATGGCAACATTAATTATGCGGTCTGGACCTTGTCTCCAGTAATTTGCTGCATTTCTCGGTTCCCTTTCCATATTTTCGTCAATCCTTGCATTTTTTTCTCCAATGATCATATAAAACACAACCTGCAATATGAAACTTAGATTGAACATGTGACTCTATCCTGTCACTCAGGTGTTTCCAGTCTCTCACACCTCTGATCCATGCATCATTGTAGAAAGGCGCATTTCTGCCTGCATCAGCCAGCAGGGTTCAAAATATGCTCTGTCCAAAGTGGGCGAGTAACACAGCCATGAACGGGAGTTTGATACCTGCCTTGGTAGTAGACATGTAATAATGCTCAGAAAAAAGACCTGTTTCCTTATTTTGTATCTTTTGGGAATGGCACGCAGGGCTTGCATGAACCTGTCACTATAACATAGCTTTTTAACTTTGCATTTGGGACTTCTGCTCCATAAAGACCCCAATCATTAGACAGAACTGTCTCAGCAGTTGGCTCTCCCGACTGCATTTAGCTCCAAACCTGTCGGCGAAGTTGATGTAGTTGATGATGCCGCTGGTATTGGCTCGACCTCGTTGTAGAGGCCGCTGGACAGGCAGGTGGATGGCGGGCCGCTGGACGAGCTGCTCGGGGCATAAGGAGAAGAAGCACTCGCTCCTTGAACTACATTTGGACACACGGTTTTAGAAATAAATCCAATTTTGGAAGTTTTGATGCACGCCCAGACACCTATTTCTTTTCTTTTTTGTGCACCACTTTTGGGCTTGCTGAACATTTTCACTGAAGAAACGCTTATCTTTTCACAACTAAAATGTTAGCTAAACTAGATTTTGCTAATCATCAGTGATGACGTTTATGTTACAATTAAATTGACTGGATAAACAGATTTCGCAGCAGGCTTTGTTTCTTGGTCAACTTACGAAATAAAATAACAATACTGTAAAATAAAAATAACTAAATAAACTTATTTTAATTTATTGTTACCCACTGTTAAATTATCATTACTTAAATCAAGATGCATATTGTGTCTGAGGCGAGATGCGTCCTCTCATCCTTGCTGCTGCTGCTCTATCTCTATCTCTCTCTCTCTCTCCTGGCGCCCTCTGCTGTTACGGGCGTGCAATTGTTAGACCCCGATTATAAGACAACCCCACATTTTGAAATTATTTTCAATGAAAAAACACCGTCTTATATTTGGGTCAATGCGGTATTAGCTTGTGTTAACATTGCTATCAGCTAATGGTGAGTTCGCTTTCTCCTCGGAAATTTCAACTTCTGAGTAGGAAATTTTAACTAAAAAAGAACCGCAAAAGGAATGAAGATGCACTGCAAATTTAGTTCACAGCAGAGATGTTTGCTTCAGTGTAATTTGCCGTTTATAAAACTACAAGGACCCACCCATCACACAGTTTTAGGAGAAAGGAGAGGAAAATGAGTACATAGAGCTGGGTTTAGTTTGTGAAACACCACAGTTTTTAAATACAGCCAGTTATGTGGTATCGAAGTTTGTTTTAGTTTAATTTGTGGTTTAAAATACATACGGTAGTCTCCTCAGCATAGTTATTTCAGAGAGCATAACCCCGGGTTTCCACGGGAGCCGTCAGCAGCACGTTACTGCAGCAGCACGTCTAGCTGCTGCTTGGCCCTTCCCACGAGACGCGACGCAGCAGAGGAGCAGCTGTCACCGACAGGGCACGTCAGTAAACACAACAACAAGCAGGAGAAAACTACAACATGGCTCCAAAATGTTTGTGTTTTTATATTCTGTCCGTTTTATAATCGCCAATACGGACCTGAAAAACAAAGGAGACCGCTAGCTAGGTGATAACTTCTCACGGGGACGCACAGTTAGTAACCTTTTTTAAAGTAAAGCGACCGGAAGGCAGTACGTTCTTTATTCTGAAAATCTCGGGAGCTTCTCTCCATTTCCGCGTCCGATTTCCTGTCTTTCCTTCCCCAAAAATGTCGAACTTGACCCGTTTCAGAGGCGTCGCGCGTAGGAAATAGAACCGGCGCGTAAAGGCCGCGACATGCTGCTCCTGAGACGCGGCCGACTCGCGCTGCTGACGGCTCCAGTGGAAAAGGTTCTGTTGACCACAGCGGTTCCTATCAGCAGCTATGACGTGCTGCTGCAGTAACGTGCTGCTGACGGCTGCTGTGGAAAGCCGAGGTAAGAGGAATAGGAGTAGATGGAGCAGTTTCAATTTCTTGCAAAGAAATAGTTGTGGTTAAAGGTTTTCATGTAGAAGAATTGTGTACAACACAACAGTGATAAAATAAAAACATTGTTGTATGTTATTAATCATGATTTTTATCAAATATAATTATATATAGAGAAAATATATATATTTAATTATAAAAGAGATTTACATAATTATTAAACACTCAAAGGTGTCAAAAATTGGTACCGTTAAGCATTGGTATCGATTTGTAGGTATCGGGAATTGGTACCGTATCAATTCAAATGTAAAAGGTACTCGTCATCTCTACTCACAGATGAGTGTTAAACATACCAGAGATGGCGCCAGAGGCTCCTCATGGGTTGGAGATTGTTAAAGATAGAAATAGAACAAAGAGGGTAAAAAAGTTGTCACTTCCTTCCTCTTGGTGTTGGGAAGGAGGAAGGTGGAATTTCTAAACGCAATGGCTTCAAACACGGTGGTTTGATTCACCAAAACGTTACCCCAAAGGGATTTTAAATTAACTCGCAGTCTGTCACTGTGTGGCAGGCAGATAAAGGTGCTTTGAATAAAATTATTCAGTGGCATTTATCTCCGTGAAACCTAACTGTTAGCCGTGCTAAGTTAGCTGATATTGTTTTATTAAACCCTTCGGCAGACTAAAGCAGAGATAAAAACTCAACCTCTGGAACTCACTAACCCTAACCCTCATTTAAGCTGCTTAGCAGTAACATATACAGTGGTGTGAAAAACTCTTTGCCCCCTTCCTGATTTCTTATTCTTTTGCATGTTTGTCACACAAAATGTTTCTGATCATCAAACTCATTAAACCATTAGTCAAAGATAACACAAGTAAACACAAAATGCAGTTTTGAAATGATGGTTTTTATTATTTAGGGAGAGAACAAAATCCAAACCTACATTGTCCTGTGTGAAAAAGTAACTGCCCCCCTTGTTAAAAAATAACCCAACTGTGGTGTTTCACACCTGAGTTCAATTTCTGTAGCCACCCCCAAGCCTGATTACTGCCACACCTGTTTCAATCAAGAAATCACTTAAATATGAGCTGCCTGACACAGAGAAGTAGACCAAAAGCACCTCAAAAGCTAGACATCATGCCACGATCCAAAGAAAGAACAAATGAGAACAAAAGTAACTGAGAGCTATCAGTAGGGCTGCTCAATTAATCGAATTTTAATCACGATTACGATCTGAGTTTTGAACGATTATAAAAAACATAACAAGCTGATTATTTGCTCCTCCCGCTTGCGCTGCCCTAAGTTGCAAATGAAGCGCTCCTCACAGTGTTGCCAACTTAGCGACTTTGACGCTATTTCTAGCAGCTTTTCAGACCCCCTTCTTGACTTTTTAATCCTAAAAGTACCTAGCGAACACCTGAGAAACATCTCTGGTAACCCTTAGCTACTTTCTGGATAACTGTCGTCGACATTTCCTGCAGGTTAGCTAAACACTCCGCCCGCGCTCCGGACCGTTCTTCAGGACATTAGGAAAGGGAATGATGCAGTGATGTGTCGGTCGTTAAAGACAGCTCTCGGAGCCGGCTCCTTGTTGGATTAACCAGAGTGAGTGACACACACACCGCACCTGCGGGCTCCTGAGCAGCTAAAAACAGCTAAATGTGCGCGTGCGGCGTGCTAAACACACGTGCAGCTTGCCCGATTGTGTGAGACCGGGATGGGGGGGTGGGGGGTGCAACTGTGGTCGGGACAATTATTACATTAACTGATGGGCCTGTAAATAAATAGTTTATAAATAAGGTAGAAATAAGTTCCTCACGCTGATAACTAATCTCTCTGAGGACACAGTGCTACAGCACCTTGACACGACTCAATAAATGTTATGTAACATTTTGTGAACATCAGTTTATTTGCATTTATTTGTTATAAATGCCACTCTATAATTCTTGCTGTCAGTATTTGCAAGATATTGGTATTTGGGTCTGTACTGGTTAGACTTACATGAGTTAAACCAAGGTCTATAGCCCTTGGGTCATAGACTATGAGCTATAAGTATATTGGTCCTTTTATCCTGGGAATCAGGAGTTATTTTAGTGATCCTCTTGTTTCTTATTTTTGTCCTGATTGTGCCCTGAGCAATTTTATGACTGAATAAAAACAAATAAAATCAAATTAAATTGAAAAATCGTCCTAAATAATCGTGATCTCAATTTCAGTCACCATAATCGTGATTATTATTTTTGCCATAATCGAGCAGCCCTAGCTATCAGTCTGGTAAAGGTTATAAAGCCATTTGTGAAGCTTTGGGACTCCAGCGAACCACAGTGAGAGCCATTATCCACAAATGGCAACAACATGGAACAGTGGTGAACCTTCCCAGGAGTGGGCGGCCCACCAAAATTACCACAAGAGCGCAGATACAACTCATCCGAGAAGTCACAAAAGACCCCAGGACTAGGGCTGCTCGATTATGGCAAAAATAATAATCACGATTATGGTGACTGAAATTGAGATCACGATTATTTAGGACGATTTTTCAATTTATGTTGATTTTATTTGTTTTTATTCAGTCATAAAACTGCTCAGGGCACAATCAGGACAAAAATAAGAAACAAGATGATCACTAAAAGAACTCCTGATTCCCAGGATAAAAGGACCAATATACTTATAGCTCATAGTCTATGACCCAAGGGCTATAGACCTTGGTTTAACTCATGTAAGTCTAACCAGTACAGACCCAAATACCAATATCTTGCAAATACTGACAGCAAGAATTATAGAGTGGCATTTATAACAAATAAATGCAAATAAACTGATGTTCACAAAATGTTACATAACATTTATTGAGTCGTGTCAAGGTGCTGTAGCACTGTGTCCTCAGAGAGATTAGTTATCAGCGTGAGGAACTTATTTCTACCTTATTTATAAACTATTTATTTACAGGCCCATCAGTTAATGTAATAATTGTCCCGACCACAGCTGCACCCCCCACCCCCCCACCCCGGTCTCACACAATCGGGCAAGCTGCACGTGTGTTTAGCACGCCGCACGCGCACATTTAGCTGTTTTTAGCTGCTCAGGAGACCGCAGGTGCGGTGTGTGTGTCACTCACTCTGGTTAATCCAACAAGGAGCCGGCTCCGAGAGCTGTCTTTAGCGACCGACACATCACTACATCATTCCCTTTCCTAATGTTGTGAAGAACGGTCCGGAGTGCAGGCGGAGTGTTTAGCTAACCTGCAGGAAATGTCGACGACAGTTATCCAGAAAGTAGCTAAGGGTTACCAGAGATGTTTCTCAGGTGTTCGCTAGGTACTTTTAGGATTAAAAAGTCAAGAAGGGGGTCTGAAAAGCTGCTAGAAATAGCGTCAAAGTCGCTAAATTGGCAACACTGTGAGGAGCGCTTCATTTGCAACTTAGGGCAGCGCAAGCGGGAGGAGCAAATAATCGGCTTGTTATGTTTTTTATAATCGTTCAAAACTCAGATCGTAATCGTGATTAAAATTCGATTAATTGAGCAGCCCTACCCAGGACAACTTCTAAAGAACTGCAGGCCTCACTTGCCTCAATTAAGGTCGGTGTTCACGACTCCACCATAAGAAAGAGACTGGGCAAAAATGGCCTGCATGGCAGATTTCCAAGACGCAAAAAGAACATTAGGGCTTGTCTCAAAGATTGCCAAGACTTTTGGTCTAGAAGCAGACTCCTGTTCATCATTGATTGTTTATTTTTGTGGAACCCGCCCCTTCCTTTTGTTCCTTTCTCTTTCACCTCTGTCTCCGTGTCTGGTCAGAAAAATAAAGTATCCAAAAAACAATAACAAACAGGGTCTCCCTCAGAAAATGAGTTAAGCCTGGCAGATAAGCACACCCCTAGGCCACTACAGTTGACCACCACCCCCGAGGCAGAGGGCCCCACCGAGGAAACACTGGTATGATTAAACAAAGTAAAATGAAAATAAATAAATATTATTAATTATAATAATAATAGCTAGTATGGATAGTAAAATATCTGTTAAAAACTGATAGTAAAACCCCCATGTCTCCTGATGACACCTCCAAGAGGGAGCATATAAAGCACTGGGCCTAAAATTGAACCCTGGGGCACACCACATGTAATCCCATGGATCCTCGAGGAACAGGTATCTAAACGTACCATAAACGTCCTGTCTGTGAGCTAGGATGTGAACCATCTGTGGGCAGCACCAGAGAGACCAATCTGTTTTAAACGGGTCACTGTTGACCAGCGCCTGCTACTGGATAAGCTGACAGACTGGGTAGGCCTATCAGGAACTGCTCTGTGGCTCTCTCCAGGTTTCAGTCCTCCTGCACTTCCCTCGCCCATGGTGTCCCACAAGGTTCTGTGCTGGGGTCTCCTTTATCTGCTCTTTCCAGCACTTGCTAAACTCATATAAAGGAATATTATACCTTCTTTATGCAGATTACATTCAAACTAACCCTAACCCTAACAGGTCAGTAGACATCAGTGAGAAGACTTCCATCAGCACACATGAAGGAAAGGCTTCAGATGGGCACATTTATAGGAGTTCATTGTTACTCATCTCTCTCTCTCTCTCTCTCTCTCTCTCTCTCTCTCTCTGTCTCTGTCTGTCTCTGTCTATCTCTCTCTGTCTCTCTCTCTCTCTGTCTGTCTCTCTCTCTCTCTCTCTCTCTCTCTCTCTCTCTCTCTCTCTCTCTCTCTCTCTCTCTCTCTGTCTCTCTCTGTCTCTCTGTCCCAGAGCTGCTGGCTGAAGCTATGAGGACTACAGGGTGTAAGCAGGTGAGAATCTACCGTGTGTGTGTGTGTGTGTGTATTTCATGCCTTATTCTGATGGCTGCAAAGGGAATGAGAAGGCGGTACTGATTCTACTACTAGGGCTGCAACAAACGATTATTTGGATAATCGATTAATCGGATGGGGTCTCGACACGATTAATCGATTAATCGGATTACATGGGGAAATTTTTAAAAACTGCTAGGGAAACGTTATTTCTCTCCTTCCTTCACTTTATTTAACACAACATTATTAGAAAACAGTTCAATAGCAGAAAAACAACATGCCATCACCTAAATTGTCTTATAAGGTGTATAGACAGAGACCCTAAGCTACATCTATCTGTGACCTAAAATGCTTGGTCCAAGTTAAACAGCTTAAGGGCAATTCTCATCTGTTTTGTTTGATCTCATCTGTTGACATATATTTTAAATGTAATTAAACATAGGCTGTGAATTAATCAAAATTGATCACTATTTCCAAAAATGACTGAAAAAATACCAAATAAAACAAAAGTAAATGAATGCCATCCTCCTTGCGATGATGCCCTGGGCAACTGCCATAAAGTCACATCAAGAAATGCTGCTGATCATTCCAATGATCCCAAATAGACTCACATTAGGCCACATGAAAGCAACTGAACCCAAAAATATATTAACCAGTATATAACTGCACTCTCACACAACACGCCTGCAGCAACAGTTAGGACTCCTCCCTCCCTTTTAAAAGCGTTTTTGCTTCTGAGGACATTGTGGTTGTAAAACCACATGCTAGTAGTCTGGCCCCGGTGTGATCAACCAGTTTCTGCGGGAATGTGACGGCGGAACCAGGGCCAGATTAACACTTTGTTGTACCCTGGGCAACAATATTCAAGGGCTCCATCATCACGACCCAAGGATTACCATAATGTGGTCACATACAGAATATTTTACTGTAATATGCAGTAAATATACTCAATACTTGAATGCCTGACAACACGTAACCCGCCCAGAGTAACCTTTGACCCACCTCGTGTGGACTGACCAATGAGGAGAGGGTCTTAACTTGAGGCCCTCTCTTCATTGGTCATTCTGCATGAGACTGACTCTCAACTGACGTTCAGTCGTAGGCAGCGAAGCGTCTCTGTGCAGTGCAAAAGCCCGGGTGGACAGTTTGTTTAATGTAGGGTGACCATATTTCCATTTCCAAACAAGAGGACAGGGGATCTGTGCCTATGACATCACACTATGGCAACACCACACAAACCATGTTGGGACCCATTTTTTGTAAGAACTAAATTAATATCAGATTCTGCCAATTAAAGGGCTCTAAAACAATTCATATATAAATATTTAGCATATTTAATGCAAAATAGAATTTTTCTGCTTTAGTTCTGCAACAAGGTTTTATTAATAATAAATTATTATACCTTTTGTTTTACTACAGCATCGGTACGCTTCCTGTGCACAGATTATTAAGGATGCTTGTTTCAGCTGTGAGATTAGACAATAGGATCAATGAAAAAATAACTAGTCACACACTCCATGGAAACTTTCAGAGAATCCACAAATAGTGGCTTTCAAATGGTTTTGTTACTTTTTGCAAGTTTATAAAAGAAGCAGATGAGACAGCATGTCTGATAATTTAGTTTTTCATCTGATAATATTAGAACATGTCAGTAATGTCTGAGGGGCTTTTATAAACACCATATAACTAACACTACTGGAGAGGGCATGAATTACACAGAGGCTTCTGGGGAGCCCAGTTATTGGGGGGGGGGGGGGGGGGGGTCATTTTGCCTTGGCCCCCAAAATGTCTTGAAACGGCCCTGGGTGTGTGACTGAGTTTTGAAGGTGATCTGAATTGTATCAGATGTATAAATATGACATGTGTATAACTTAATGTTTTTTATAGGTAAAAACGTGTAGTGGTGATAAATCTACCTACATTTTACTTTTCAACACTTTGTTTTCAGCGCTTTGTTTCACTTTCAGCGCTTTGGGCTTCCTGACAGGGTTGCGGAAGGCGCTTTATAAATAAAGCTTTGATTGATTGATTGATTGATTGATTTTTTGTTTTTATTGAACTATTTTCCTGTCCTGTCTGTCTCTCATCTTCCTGCATCTCCTCTTAATTCTCCAGAAAATCTGTTGCCTGGATTCTTACCTTTTCACCTCATCAGTTACTTTTGAGCAGATCAAAGGGATCTCCTGACCGAAAAGCGCAGAGCGCGTTTTCGATGCTGCGTGAGGTGACATCACCACAGCACAGGTGATGAGCTCCACAGTAGCGAGCTTCAGGCACAAATAAGACAGAAAATAGAGAAGATGTGCAGACAAGAACGATCGTGTGCTAATTATAGTTTTTTGGTTGCGCCACTTTGAGAATGGACCGTGCGCTGGAAGCAGCTGCCTGGATCACTGTGCAACAATGCGGAACCGGTTCGCAGCAGCGCAAGTCTGCCGGCTCTCCCTCGCGCTGATCTGCCGCTACCGGCTCTCCCTCACGCTGATCTGCCGCTACCGGCTCTCCCTCGCGCTGATCTGCGGCTCTCCCTTGCGCTGATCTGCGGCTCTCCCTCGCGCTGATCTGCCGGCTCTCCCTCGCGCTGATCTGCGGCTCTCCCTCGCGCTGATCTGCGGCTCTCCCTCGTGCTGATCTGACTTGCTCTGGTCTGCGCGCAACGGCGGACGGGATTCGGGAAGGGGGGGGGGGGGGGGGGCGCTTTTGGAAGAGTTGTGCGACACAACGAATCGATGACGCAATTCGTTGCCAACGCTTTTAGTAATCGATTTTCATCGAATTTATCGATTCGTTGTTGCAGCCCTATCTACTACATCAGAGTAGTTAAACACATCTTCGTATTCACTCACTTCTGTGGTCTTCATTAGTCTGACTTCCTGTTTCTGTAGGCCCGGCTGTCCATGGAGCTTCAGAGGGACAGCCATATCAAACAGCAGCATCTCATCCAGGAGCGCTGGAAGAGAGAAGTTCGACGTGGGGCCACCAAGGCTCAGCCCAGCCTGGTGCAGCCCCTCAGTGGATCAGGGCACCCTTCTGAAGCTCAGTACCTGGACCAGACCCCGGCTCGTGAAGCTCTTGGCCTCTCAGTTGAGCATAGCCAAGTGGTTGAGGAGCGAGAATATGACACCCTACTCTACCAGTTTCAGGTACGGCAGACTGCGAGCTGCCAGCCTGGCACTCAACCGTGTTCTGGGTCAAAAACTACCAAAGATGACAAAACTCGCCTAGAGGAGCAACAGACCACCATTGAGGACCTGCGACGTTTTGTGGACCACCTGATAAATGAAAACCAGCGACTCTTGGCTGAAAATGAGCGGCTCGGTTTGGAAAATGCGCGGCTGCATTCAGAGGCGGCAGACTTTGTAGAACGCTCTGAGCTCTGGGTGCTCCCACAAGCAGGCAGTGTCATGGGAACTGGGAGTGGAAATGAGAGGAAGAGTACTGGCACAGGCAAGGAGATTGCAATCCCTCAGCTGCCTCCACTAGAAATGCCTGCTCAGGAAGATCTGTGTCTGGATGACCTGCCATCCCTGGAGCTCCCAGAGGAAATCCAAAATGAACTACAGGAGCTCCTAGATCAAGACCATTAATGCTTCAGTCCAGAAGAAGAGAGGCATCTTTATTTCTGAGTTGTCACTCAAATCAAATAACAGACCTGCGGACTCAGTGCTCCAGGAATCTCCCAGCAGCCTCTTGTTCTCTGCTGGTGTTTGGGCCAGTGCTCCACACCTACCTCAGAGTCATGTGATCCCAGAACTGACCTGTGTATGTGCTGGAACATTTACTGTTGGATCAAGTCAGTTGCAGCTTTAAGATCTTTAATTCTGCATATGCTGTTGGTGAAGACATCAGTTAGCCACAACATTAAAACCACTTGTTTATAACATTAGTGTAAGCACACACACTCACTCTCTCTCTCTCTCTCTCTCTCTCTCTCTCTCTCTCTCTCTCTCTCTCTCTCTCTCTCTCTCTCTCTCTCTCTCTCTCTCTCTCTCTCTCTCTCTCTCTCTCTCTCTCTCTCTCTCTCTCTCTCTCTCTCTCTCACTCTCTCACTCTCTCACTCTCTCACTCTCTCACTCTCTCACTCTCTGTCTCTCTCTCTCTCTCTCTCTCTCTCTCTCTCTCTCTCTCTCTCTCTCCCCCCCCCCCCCCAGTATTTCTTAAACCATCTCATTGGACAACATGATGACTGTCCGCAGGCCTCTTCTCAGGCTTCATTGGTAACTCCACTTTGGTTCCAGCTGTGGACAAACTGAGACACTTTGTCCCATATCAGTTAATGAGATGTCGCATTCCCTCAGAAATAAAGCTTGTGCTTCTGTAACGTAAGTGGTTACTTTTAATGAATGATCAGTAAGATGTGATTATCCATATAAATATGAATTATCAATATTATTGATCTTTTGAAATTTGATTTAAGATAAAACCAGGTCTTTTGGTGGTCCAGGTACATCACACCTTGGTAATACTTTTAGGCGTAGGCAAAAAGATAGTTTATAAAAATCTATTTACTCTATATTTCTACTACTGATGATATCACGGAACAAATATGATGATTGATGGTTGAAACAAGACGACTGAGGCATGAATGAAAAGATGGAAGGTAAGCTTAGATGTTCTGTTAAAATGTGTCTTAGAAACTTGTGATGTCTGTTGTTGGGGTCCTGCCCTCATTAGAAAATTACTACACAGTATTTTCTCCAAAGGACTGTGCCATCTACGCCCTGAAGCGTAGACAATAAAGCATACTGATATCAGCGCCAGCAGGGACTCCATGTCACCATCTCACCCCACCGGTCTGATTAGATTGTTACTTCACATTATCATTCCATGGTTTCATTGCTTGTTGTTTGTTTGATAAAATCAGTTGGTTGATATTGATTGGCTAGCGCTTTGAAGGAGCTAAGGTGATTATATTAGTCAATAAATGTTATTGCTAATTAAGTTTTGTCTAAAGCGAATTTGTATGTGTTGGATAGAATATGACCGCTGCTCGTTAAAAGAATTTTACGAACTTTAGACAGATTGATAGAGGTTTGGATTCATTTTTCCCCTGTAAAAAGGGGTGGTGCCCCGAGGTATATCCACGGATATCTTAATTACGTAATAAATCGGTAAATATTTCAATATTTACGAATTTTATTGATGAATCCAAAGGGTAAGTAAAGCTTACAAATTATTAGTTGGCTAATAATCACAACACTGTGTTGTAAAATAAGTCTGACTGCATGGTTTAGCAAACTATCATTAATAAAACCATCCATGCCAGTCGTGCAGAATCTACGAACCCTTGTGGTGAAGGCTCTCGGCGATCCAGGAGAAGTCGGTACGGAGAGGCTGCAGATGGAGTTGACTTCTGTGATATTTGAAGCTCGTACGCAGATCCACCTTGAATACAGAACCGCTGGTCTGAGATGCCTTCAGGGTGAATGCTGGTCAGGACGGCTCCTTATGTTTTACTGACCCAGTCGGCCGAGTGGACAGCTCGCTAGAACTCCCTCAGAGGAAGTGTCAGTTCTTTTTAATAACTATTGTTTATCGACTTGGACAAGTCAGACTTTGGCAAGTTAAAGCGGGCGGTTATCAAAGACCTCAGACACCATCTCCCTGATGTGGAGTAAAATGTTAAACATTCATAATAATATAACTAATGTGTGAATATACTGAAACAAGTCATTATTCAACTAATACACTAATCTGGTGTAACCAGATCTGGAAAACATCATTACAGGAATGGCTGTTACTGTAGAGCATTCAACATTATTAAAACACTTTATATTTAAAATACATTTTAGGCACTGCAGAATATGTAAATCATGTAAAGTTAGAAAATAACTTTATGAGCCAGAAAAGACAACTTTATTAAAGAGGTATAGATAGAGAGTCTTGTGAGATGGATAATGGTCAAGTTCAGAGATATTTATATTAGACACCTCCTGTTGTCAGGGTGACACAAGAAAGCTAACCTTGAGGAAACAGGCGCTCTACAATTCCATCTAGGATTTAACATATTTTCTCATAATTTGTATTTTCCAACTAGGCGCCCTCAATCTCAGCTAAGTTGGACACTGGTTTTGGGGCAACGTCTGGTTTTTGGGGCAACGTCTGGTTTTGGGGCAACATCTGGTTTTTGAGGCAACATCTGGTTTTGGGACAACGTCTGGTTTTTGGGGCAATGTCTGGTTTTTGGGGCAACATCTGGTTTTTGGGGCAACATCTGGTTTTTGAGGCAACATCTGGTTTTGGGGCAACGTCTGGTTTTGGGGCAACATCTGGTTTTTGGGGCAACGTCTGGTTTTGGGGCAACGTCTGGTTTTGGGGCAACATCTGGTTTTTGGGGCAACGTCTGGTTTTGGGGCAACATCTGGTTTTTGGGGCAACGTCTGGGTTTTGGGGCAACGTCTGGTTTTTGGGGCAACGTCTGGTTTTGGGGCAACATCTGGTTTTTGGGGCAACGTCTGGTTTTGGGGCAACATCTGGTTTTTGGGGCAACGTCTGGTTTTTGGGGCAACGTCTGGTTTTTGGGGCAACGTCTGGTTTTGGGGCAACGTCTGGTTTTTGGGGCAACGTCTGGTTTTTGGGGCAACGTCTGGTTTTGGGGCAACATCTGGTTTTTGAGGCAACATCTGGTTTTGGGACAACGTCTGGTTTTTGGGGTAATGTCTGGTTTTTGGGGCAACATCTGGTTTTTGGGGCAACATCTGGTTTTTGAGGCAACATCTGGTTTTGGGGCAACGTCTGTTTTTGGGGCAACGTCTGGTTTTTGGGGCAACGTCTGGTTTTTGGGGCAACGTCTGATTTTGGGGCAGCGTCTGGTTTTTGGGGCAACGTCTGGTTTTTGGGGCAACGTCTGGTTTTTGGGGCAACGTCTGGTTTTTGGGGCAACGTCTGGTTTTGGGGCAACATCTGGTTTTTGGGGCAACATCTGGTTTTGGGGCAACGTCTGGTTTTTGGGGCAACGTCTGGTTTTGGGGCAACATCTGGTTTTTGAGGCAACATCTGGTTTTGGGACAACGTCTGGTTTTTGGGGCAATGTCTGGTTTTTGGGGCAACATCTGGTTTTTGGGGCAACATCTGGTTTTTGAGGCAACATCTGGTTTTGGGGCAACGTCTGTTTTTGGGGCAACGTCTGGTTTTTGGGGCAACGTCTGGTTTTTGGGGCAACGTCTGGTTTTGGGGCAACGTCTGGTTTTTGGGGCAACGTCTGGTTTTTGGGGCAACGTCTGGTTTTTGGGGCAACGTCTGGTTTTGGGGCAACATCTGGTTTTTGGGGCAACATCTGGTTTTGGGGCAACGTCTGGTTTTTGGGGCAACATCTGGTTTTTGGGGCAACATCTGGTTTTGGGGCAACGTCTGGTTTTGGGGCAATGTCTGGTTTTGGGGCAACATCTGGTTTTGGGGCAAAATCTGGTTTTTGGGGCAACATCTGGTCAGTAGGAAAGTTGTCTGAATTTAAAAGAAGCAGATCAGCTGTTAAATGAAAAAATGATAAATGAGCCGCACTTGTATAGCGCCTCTCAGAGTAAGGACTCCAAAGCGCTTTACACTACAGTGTATCATTCATCCATTCTCACAATGATGATGATGAGTTACGATGTAGCCACAGCTACCCTGGGGCGCACTGACGCCACCGGTCCCTCTGACTACCACCAGCAGGCAAGGTGGGTTATTGTCTTGCCCAAGGACACAACGGCTGTGTCTCAATTCAGGGTCTGCATCCTTCGAAGGACCCAGCCCACCCGGCCGACGTGGGCTGCGTCCTCCGTCGGCCGGGTAGACCGGATGTTAACGGCTGTGAATTTGGACAGGCCTAGCCTTCATGAACTCCCTCGGCGAACGTTCCGTCGCCTAGCAACCGTGGAACCGCTGGGCAGAAGGAACCTTAAACGATGGAGCTCGACGTTTTATTTAGCTTTTTAACCCCCAGAAACCCAAATTTAGAAAACTGCAAAATATTTTTAACCTTTCACATGTTGTTCTAGGAGGCCAGATAAACGGGCCTATTTACACATTTTAACAGCCAATAGTGTTGCAGAACTGAATAGGACCTATTAGCAATGTAAATGTGGTTTTAAAAAGAAAAAAAATGGGGAAGGTTTATTTTTGTAGACTTAAATCTGATGTTGTGATACTACAACCGTGGGTCTCTGGGGGTTAATCATTTCCTTGACTGTTGGAGAGCTAATTCAGAGAAAATACTTTAGACTAGCTGAGCCTGAGCAAAGATGTGATAATAGTTTTTAATACTTTCTAAGGGTCTTAATTTGACCAAAACCGATTTATCACCTTTTAAGACTTTTCAAGACCCAGCGGATACCCTCTAGTAAACAATTCTCATTTGTAAACAAAAATAAAATTCAAGAGTTTAATGCAGAACTGAGTTTATTTAGATATTTCTTTTATATGTACATGTTTAATCTTCATTAACCATTTTTTTCTAGCAAAGTAAAAAGCTGTCAAAGTTCTTCCTTCTCTCCTGTGCTCTCTGCTGCTCTGCAGCCTCATGTCCTCCCAGATCAGCTCCAGAAGCTCATCGCTGGCACCTTCCCCTGGATGCCCATTTTCTCCAGAATAGTCTTAACAAACATGTAAGAAAAGAAACAGGAAGAGAAAAGAGGACAACGGGTTATTCCTTTCATGTTTTCGCAGAAAAAAATATACTCAAACGAGTTTTTAAAATATGAGATGTTATTGTACCTCCATGCCACAGCCGCCGAATACTTTGCTCCGGTGATCATGTGGTCCATCTCCGCCCTAAGCTTAATAAATTCCCTGGTTTTCTCTTTTGGTCCTAAAATACAAACTTCTATTAAAATCAGGGGGAAACGTAGTGGGAGAAGTACGACACCGAGCGCGGCCGAACATACGAGCCGAGACCGCAATACAAGCACTTTTACTGTAACATTTCTAACTAAAATAACGTTCATGTATCACAAAAAGTCCTTAAACTGACAGTTTTCAAGTTTATACTTACATTTATATGCGCAATCCTCTCCGACAGCTCCCGCTTCACTGTCCGCCATTGTTTTTAAGTTTTTCTGCCGGCCGGCCCGCAAGGCATCTTGGGAAATGCTACCTATTGAAGGATACACCCGACCCATCCTTCATTCAGGCGAAAAGAAGGCCGCATTCGTCGACCGCATTTGAAGGAGTCTTCGAATTGGGACAGGCCGAGTCGCGGCGCTGTGACGTAACCGGCCGACGAATCCGGCCGAGGTAGGATGCAGACCCTGAATTGAGACACAGCCAACAGCTCTGTTCGGAGCCGTGATCGAACCTGCAGCCTTCTGATTACTGGACAACCTGTTGATCTACTGCTGTCCC